GAGTAGCAGCGGGTAAAATCTATAGAATTATCGATCATAAACCGAGCGTCGACAAAAACTCTGAATCGGGATTGGAATTGGATTCCGTTTCCGGCCAATTAGAGCTGAAAAACATCGAATTTTCATACCCTTCAAGACCAGATGTTAAAATTCTAAACAATTTCACTTTAACTGTTCCTGCCGGAAAAACAATTGCATTGGTCGGAAGCAGTGGTTCTGGGAAAAGCACGGTGGTTTCTCTAATCGAAAGGTTCTACGATCCCACCTCAGGTAATAATCAATCTCAATGTACAACCCTACACGCACATAGTACAACATGAATACCTCTAATCTTGCTTAATTTCAACACAGGACAAGTAATGCTTGATGGGCATGACATAAAAGGTCTGAATTTGCGATGGTTAAGGCAACAAATTGGTCTAGTTAGCCAAGAACCTGCACTTTTTGCAACCACCATTAAAGAAAATATCCTCTTGGGTCGACCCGATGCATACATGGGTGAGATTGAAGAAGCTGCACGTGTGTCAAATGCTCATTCGTTCATTATCAAATTACCAGATGCCTATGATACTCAGGTAGGTTAAAAACTTATAATCTTGTTTTTATTTTGTGGGTCCACTTTGGTAACTTTTATGCTTTGATATTAATGGTGATTGTTCTTGATTTTTGGATGCATTTGGAGGGTAGGGTTTGATTTTTCTTTAGTTTTCTTTAGTTAAAGTTGGTTGCTTTTTGGTTGTTTGTAAAGATTAAAAATGAGTGGCAAATTTGGTAAAAAAAGGAAAACCTAACTTGGTGTAAAAGTCAAATGTAGTAAGGTAACGTTTTCTTTCGAGGGGAATGCATTAATTGAGAAGTTTGAAACCTGGTTTTTTCAGTCAACACTCCATGTGCAAAATGCAGATTTATGCAAGAAACAAGAACATAACTGTAACACCAGTGTGTGTATGTGTAAAAGGACAATATCGATAAATATAAAATATATACAACTATACACATTTTATAATTCATATCAAATGTACACTGTATCCATCACATGACTGACAAACGCAAAGATTTCGGTTGACCAGAAGCATGTTCAAGAAACAGTTTGACCATGTACTCCCTGAATTTGTTGACTTTTATCAGTCAAACATGTTGCTTCCAATTTTGAAAATTTATGAGCATCTGTTTTAGTTTGTGAGAAAAATCAGCAACCCTATGGAATTAGATAGAAGTACTATGAATATGATTTCAAAAGTTCAAAGATTGACGTTGAAATGGTAAATGCAGGTTGGGGAGAGAGGATTACAATTATCGGGTGGACAAAAGCAGAGAATAGCGATAGCAAGAGCAATGTTAAAGAATCCAGCGATCTTGCTTTTAGATGAAGCTACAAGTGCATTGGATTCAGAATCGGAAAAGTTAGTGCAAGAAGCCCTAGACAGGTTCATGATCGGAAGAACAACTCTGGTGATCGCCCACCGTCTCTCCACCATACGAAAGGCGGATCTCGTGGTGGTTCTGCAACAGGGTAGTGTTTCAGAAATCGGAACTCACGATGATCTGATGAGCAAAGGCGAAAATGGCGTCTACGCGAAGCTCATAAAAATGCAGGAAGTTGCACATGAAACCGCCATGAATAACGCCAGAAAGAGCAGTGCGAGACCTTCGAGTGCGAGACCTTCGAGTGCGAGAAACTCAGTGAGTTCACCTATAATGACTCGGAACTCGTCGTATGGGAGATCGCCGTTTTCCCGGAGGTTATCTGATTTCTCGACGTCGGAATTTAGTTTATCAGTCGAGGGAGGTTACCCTAACTACAAACTCGAGAAGCTTCCATTTAAAGAGCAAGCAAGTTCGTTCTGGCGGCTGGTGAAGATGAACTCGCCGGAGTGGAGCTACGCCTTGGTTGGGTCGGTGGGTTCCGTCGTTTGTGGGTCCCTCAGTGCATTCTTTGCTTACGTTCTCAGTGCAGTGCTCAGTGTTTACTACAGCCAAGACCATGAATACATGATTAAACAGATCGGAAAATACTGTTATTTATTGATCGGCGTGTCATCGGCGGCTCTTATTTTCAACACCTTGCAGCATTCTTTCTGGGATGTCGTCGGAGAAAATTTAACAAAACGTGTTCGCGAGAAAATGCTAGCGGCAGTTTTAAAAAATGAAATGGCATGGTTCGATCAGGAGGAGAATGAAAGCTCGAGAGTCGCCGCTAGGCTAGCTCTAGATGCCAATAATGTCAGGTCGGCAATTGGTGACCGGATTTCTGTAATCATGCAGAACTCCGCCCTCATGTTGGTGGCCTGCACCACCGGATTTATTCTCCAATGGCGTCTTGCTCTTGTTCTTGTTGCTGTGTTCCCTGTCGTGGTTGCAGCGACTGTTTTGCAGAAAATGTTCATGCAAGGATTTTCCGGCAACTTGGAAGGTGCACACGCGAAGGCCACCCAACTCGCCGGAGAGGCGGTGGCTAATATGAGAACAGTGGCGGCGTTCAACTCAGAGTCAAAAATAGTCGACCTTTTTAAAACCAGTCTTGATACCCCACTTCGTAGATGCTTCTGGAAGGGACAAATAGCCGGACAAGGATTCGGGATCGCGCAATTCTTGCTATACGGTTCATACGCGATCGGTCTTTGGTACGCTTCATGGCTCGTAAAACACGGAATCTCTGATTTCTCAAAGACAATTCGCGTGTTCATGGTTCTCATGGTGTCAGCCAATGGTGCAGCCGAAACCCTAACCCTAGCTCCTGATTTCATCAAAGGCGGTCGAGCCATGCAGTCTGTGTTCGAACTTCTCGATAGAAAAACCGAGATCGAACCAGACGATCAGGACTCGACTACAGTGCCCGACAAGATCCGAGGCGAAATCGAACTAAAACACATCGATTTCGCCTACCCTTCCCGCCCAGACACTTTAATTTTTCGTGATCTTTCTTTACGCGCCCGGGCCGGGAAGAGTCTCGCTCTGGTCGGCCCAAGTGGTTGCGGGAAGAGCTCAGTGATCTCCCTGATACAACGATTCTACGACCCGTCCTCTGGACGGGTCGCAATCGACGGAAAAGACATCCGTAAATATAACCTAAAGTCACTGCGTTGTCATATCGCAGTGGTCCCGCAAGAGCCCTGTCTCTTTGCCACCACGATATACGAAAACATTGCGTACGGACACGAGGCGGCAACAGAGGCAGAGATCATCGAGGCGGCCACCCTGGCGAACGCCCACAAGTTCATATCCGCATTACCTTCCGGATACAAAACATTTGTGGGCGAACGCGGGGTGCAGCTCTCAGGCGGGCAAAAGCAACGGGTGGCAATCGCGAGGGCGTTTTTGAGAAAAGCGGAAATTGTATTACTAGACGAGGCTACAAGTGCGTTAGATGTGGAGTCAGAGAAGTGTATTCAAGAAGCGCTTGAGCGTGTGTGTTTGGGGAAAACAACAATTGTTGTTGCGCATAGGTTGTCGACTATACGAAATGTTCATAGTATTGCGGTTATTGATGATGGGAAAGTGGTGGAACAAGGGTCGCATTCACATTTGTTGAAGACTTATGTGGATGGATGTTATGCGAAGATGATTCAATTGCAGAGATTTTCGCATGGGCATGAGGTTGTAAACATGGCTTCCATTGGTTCGAGTTCATCCTAATTAAGAAACCAACATGAGGTATCTTGAGTGTTTTGTGTAATTGTGTTCTATTTTTTGTTTTTGTTTTTCTGGTTGTAACCTTAATATATAATGGTGAGTTTTAGTTGCATAGTTAATGTTGTTTACAGTAAATTATACCAAAGAACCAATGTACTCGTCAAAACTTAACTTCAACATCGGTTCTCTAAGAATTACGTACAAAAAATATTGAGACAATGAGACATGTATTTTCAAATATTAATGGAAGTCGTTTCATATTTTCTGTAGCAAGATGAATAATACTACAGTATGAGTGTACAACTACAATTTTTTTAATTTATCTACCAAGTACTTGTAACATAATAGTTATATATTTGTACTTTTTTTAATGTTTTTGTTTAAAAGTATATCACGTGAAGTTGAGCATGATTACAAGAAATATCAGACTTTGGAACGGACTACGTCGATTTTTTTCTGGTTTTTTATGTTGTATTTGTATCTTAGAATAAATTACATTTTTGATACCTAACTTTGGTTCCAGTCTAAAACTTTATGCCAATTATAGTCCAATAAAAACCAAAAATTGCAAGAGAAAACTATTGAGAATATAATTTATGGATAAACCTAGGGACCAAAATCATAACAACTATTTGAAAATAGACACCAAAATTACAAGAGAAAACCATGTTGAACAAAATTTACAGTTTTTGAACAAACTCGTACCAAAAACTGAACATTTTCCAATCAACAACATACACTTGATAACCATATATTATGAACATGGACTTTTAGGAATGAAAATGCAAGGATGTTTTCTTTTTCTTACCGAGTTTAAAGTATTAAATATTAGGTTATTATAAAATACCAACCAAAAATATTTACTTTGTTTTTTAGATCATTTGTCTTTTAATTGGACCAATAAACTTGTTCAAGTTCTTTTTACATTGTAGGAGTAGATTTCAAAAGAATAACTATATCAAATTGAATGTCACATTGGACAGTGGTGTCATTGTGGACACAAGTAAACAAACTTATATCATATTAGATGTCATTGTGGTGCCATATTGAATGACACATTGGATAACTATGTCATATTGAATGTCACATTAGACACAAGTAAACATATTAGATGTCATTGTGAACACCACATAGGATTTAACAATTAATACAATCGTACTTAGTTGAAATCCACAATTGTAGAAAGTTGTTGATTGGGATGCGAGGTTGCAATGAGTATTTCGTGTCATGGTCTATTGATTATAAAGAAGAAATGGACCTAATGTACATATAACTTTATCTAGACATACATACATCATTCAGTACTTAATGAAGGAAAAGGAAAAAAGAAACAACCCCTTAATTGAGAATTGTATATATTTCACATGGTGGTCTCATATGGTGATAGCAACCAACCAAAGTTTGGGTAACAAGATAGAGTGGTCCACATGATTAGGTCTTTAAGTGGCCTTCATTTCATATGCCAATGTTTTATATCTTGTGACAATAATAGTACTCTAATACTATATAGTTTATATGTAATGTTTACACTCCATGAAAACAATAGTACTAGTACTCTAATACCATGGAAAGCAAAAAAGAAACACAATGAAACTAACTTCAATTTAACAAGAAGATGAATAATAATAATATTACTTCTATGATATTGATTTGTGTTTTGAAGGTTTGATTCTTCTTACATTGCATATTGAATTCAAGAAACATAAAGTATCGACAAAAACAGAGAAACTAAGCTCACATGGACATTAACTTTGGTCCATTATCGGGCATGCCCATTCCAGCTGCCAGGTCAGCATCGAGCTGTGTGTGTGGTGCGGGACCCGCCATTATCTTCAATCTGCAAGAATCAGAAAAGGCTCAACGAAAGAATAACGATAATAAACTAAGTTTATGTATTGAGCTTTCTGTTTTATCATGTTCTCTGTTTATGTACTATGTTTATGCAGTTTCCACCAAAAGTAGATGAAAAAAGATGTAAACTTGCTTCTTCTTTTATCTTTTCCTGTGTTTTTTATAAGGGTCCACCTTGTTTATTAACTGCAATGTACCATGTGTAATTGTGTATGTCCATGGCTAGTTGTTTATGAATTCACAGCATTAAAAACTCAGACCATCTTGTAGAAGAGCTAAACTTCCACTTCAGATGTCAATGGTTTTGAATCAAGAACAGAGTCAATATGATACTCCATGTAAAAAGTAGTTTACTTTAGTTTTTTTAGCTTCATAGTTGATGATTGAATTGTTTCCACAAGCATAAATGAAATTCAAAGCAAAACAACTGAAAGCAGCTAATCTGATAAGAGCTACCAAAAAGAAACATACCGCTTCTTGTGCTTTTTCGTCTTGAAATGGTCATCTCTCACTGTGATGTTCGCAAAATACCGACTGAAATCGCAAACAACAGTTCAAAATTAGAGATAAATATATAAAAAACCTAATTACAATATGATCTCAAATGAAATATGATATGAAATATCAAATGTGTAGAACGCAATTACTCACTCGCAGTGTAAACAGTAGTATTGACCCATCCCAGGAAGATCTTCATCTAATGGCAACGCCACCTTCTCAGCCTCTGGTTTCTTAAGCTCGTCATAAACAGCATCATCACGTGAGATAATGAAGTCAAGGAAAATAAACCCCAAAAACGCAGATATTATGTAGTTAGCTTGTAAGAAAGAATCAAAAGAACGACGAGAAAAGGATATCTTTAACAAGGAATTTATCGCGACGAAACGTTTTGTGAGAATATCTTCTCTTCTTCACCCTTCTGTGTGGACACTTTCCTCCCATCTTTTACCTCCCGCAGTCTGAAAATTGGGAAAATTTTCTCTGAAAACCCTAACCCTAGGGTTTCGATTTCCAAAAGAAAGAACCGGTTTGCTTTTGGCGGCTATTTCACAAGCCACCGGTTCAAGATCGGGCCGAGTTATATATGAATGAAGCCCAATTTCTTAATCTTGGCTTTCTTGCAAATTTAGAATATGTCATCTTTTCATTTTTCGTATATTTTCTTTATGAGTTTTTTTGAATAATTTAAATCCAATTATTTCTTTGTATCTTAATTTTTTTTCTATAAATTGGTTTGTATTTTGAAGTGTTACAATCTTATTATAATAAAGTTATACTTGTACAAAAAGTATGCAAAAAAATAGTTCATAGACCAAGTTATAGAACTGGCACATAAAAAATAGCTTTGCTATATACGGTTTGGTAATTATTTGAATTTTTAAAAAATAGTTCTCGACTCTAGAATTATTTGTAAATAGAGTAAATTACTGAAATCGTCCCTGTGGTTTGGTCAAAATTGCACGTTTAGTTCCTAACTTTTTTTTGCACTCGGATCGTCCCTCTGGTTTGATTTTGTTGCGTTTTTCGTTCCTATGGTTTGGTAAAAGTTGCATGTTTGGTCCCTAACTTTATGTATGTAAGGGACGAAAAATACAACAAAACTAAACCACAGGGATGAAGAACGCAACAAAATCAAACCACAGGGATGATCCGAATGCAAAAAAAAAAAAAAAAGTTAAGGACCAAACGTGTAATTTTGACCAAACCACAGGGACGATTTCAGTAATTTACTCTTGTAAATAAAAGAGTTTTTGATAAATTATTTTGTTATTACTGAAGTTATTGATTTAAATAATGAGTTTTGGGTAAATTACACCGTTGGTCCCTCGTGCACATGCCAGAAAGCATGTTTAGTCCCTATTTCCAAAATTTAACTCGTGCAGTCCCTCATTGTTATTTATCTTGCATGGTTAGTCCCTATGCACGTTAACTGTTAACTCCTTCCGTTTAAGCTACCCACGTGCCTTGCACGCAGGGGCATTTTCGTCTTTTTAGGGTTTGTGTCCATATTTAATGCCGTTACACCTTAAATCTTATAAAGAACACTGCAACCCTCTTTTCCTCTGTATCCTCTCGTTCGTCTCTTCCCCTCGTTCGTCTCTTCCCCTCGTTCGATCGATTTCTTCCAAATACATAACAATGATCGATATTAATGGCAATTGTGGAGCCACTGCAGTGATTCGCACATCTTATAGCAAAAGAAACCCTGGGAAACTCTATTATGCTTGTACAGTAAAGGTAAGGTTAATGATTTCAATTTCGTTCTTCGTCTTCTCTAATTTTGCCCTAATTCTTCATCTACTTTAATTGGTTCAGGGACCATTATGCAAGTTCATAGGATGGGTGAATGATTATGATCAGGACTGTGATTGTATGGCGTTTAGGATGAAACTTGAAGAACAAAATCGCAAATTGAAGCTTTACCTAGTTATTAGCTGGGTTTTTTTTGTTTCAGTCCTTATATATAAAGTGTAGGTTAAGTAATGAAGTTGTTAGTATTTTGGTATGTGTATATTGTAATGGAGACTCTTTGTAATGTTATTTGTATTAACAAAAAAATTTCAATTTTAGTTACAATATATTGTGTAATCATAATGTGGTGTTATCAGTTGGTGTTCAAATTTAATGAAAATGTGGTATTTGCAACATATGCAATATACCATTCAATACTAGCATCCAATATAACAATTAAAAAGGACAAAAACTCTAAAATATCCAAGATAACCATTGACCATTAACATAAAGGGACATCCAAAATAACAACATAGTCTTATGGCATACAAATAGTTATCCTACACAACAACAAAGTATCAAAATACAACACATAACAACAAAGTAATATGACAATAAATGCCTAACAAAAACATAGTTATCCTTCATGATCATGATACCAAACTACAAATTCTCAAAGCATGGGGCTTTTTCCTTTGTTCCCAACTCCATTTTGTACACCACCACTGCTACCTGCTGCACCTTCTCCTGTTGTATTCCCTGCTGCACCTTCTCCTGTTCCATTCCCAGTCTGTGATTGTCCCTTGCAGGTCCTTCCATTATGGCCCACATTTCCACATTTTGTGCATGTTACAGATTTCCATTTTGTGGACACTCCATCATCTTCTGTTGCAGATCTTCTTCTCTTTTTTTTTGGTCTGCCAATAGGGACACGATACTTTGGTGGTATCAACTTGGTAGGACATGTGCTTTTTTCCCACAATAACCTCCCATTAATAGGTTCAACTTTGAAGACATACATTTCTTTCCATGTCTTGAGCCAATAAGTTGGGTGTACCCATGTCTCAGGTATTCCAACATTTTCATTGTTGAGCCTCATATCCCATATAGCTGCTATACTATGTTTGCAGGGTATGCCTGTCAGTTCCCACCTATTACATGAACAAGTTTGTTGGTCCATATTAACCACATACTGATTAGTACCTTCACTTGTAACCTGGTACTTCCCATTGCCACAGAACACTGCCCTACACTGTACTGCCCTTTCTTTAATTTTTTCAAGGGTCTTAGTGGCTGTAGGAGTTAATGGGCCATTAGCTTTATCAATTTCTTTTTGAACCATGACAATTTTCCTCATGATATACTCCCTAATAAACTCCAAGCAACTGATAATTGGCTTATCACGACCCTTCACTATCTTGCTATTCAAACTCTCACACATATTATTCAACAAGCATCACAATGTGCCCTCCCTAATAAAACACAACTGTATTAGATTATATTTAAAAATTATACACTTATAAACATAATATTATATACCTGAGAAGTGGGATCTGGACCAGTGCTTAGGTGGAATAGAATTAAGCCAGTCATATGCTTCACTGTTAAGTTTCTTTAGTTCTTCCATGGCACTGTTGAATTGTGGTATGGTGGTACATGTTGCACATTTCCAAAGACAATCCTTGAATTCCTTGCCCCTCCATTTACGTTTCATGTTCTCATGAAGATGCCTTAGGCAATATCTATGCTCTGCTGCTGGGAAAAGTTTCTCAAGTGCAGGCAATAACCCCTAAATCATCAAAAGAGTGAAGTTGCTTATTGAATTGTAAAACATGCATGTGAAAATGAATGGAGAAATTTATTTACCTTCTGTCTATCTGATATGAAAGTGAAGTTGGAGTTTGCATACAAACCAAGATCATCTCCTAAGTTAGTTAAAAACCAGGTCCATGAATTAAAGTTCTCTGCTTCAACAACTGCATATGCCAAAGGGTATGTGCAATTGTTCCCATCTAAACCCTGAATTATCATGTCAAACACAGTAATAAGCAAACAATTAACTATGGTCAAACATTAATCAAATACTAAAATATGATTATGCACATACCACTGCTGTCAGGATCATACCATGGTATGGACCCTTCATGAATGCACCATCAAGCCCTAGTAAATCTCTTTTCCCTGCTGCAAATCCACTTTTCAGTGGACCAAGACAAATGTATACTCGTTCAAATACCCTGGTCTCAGATGCATAACATGGTTCACTTTGCACTTGAAGTTTGACTGTGGTGTTTGGATTTCTACTCTGCACCTCCTGTAAGTAGTCTCTTAGACATGAGTACTGAGCAGCAAAATCTCCCCTAATTGATTCCAGGGCTTTCGTTTTCGCCCTATGAACTTTCATGTCTGACAATCCAAGTTGGTATTTCTTCTCAAGCATCTCACGTAATGCTCTAAGTGGTATTTCTGGGTTTGCCTCCACTGTGTCAACAATCTGTTCAGAGAGAAACTTGTAGTTACATGCCCTAATTTTCCTTGTTTGAAGGCACGTATGTTGCTTTTCATAGGTCTTAACAGTCCAGTTAATGTCTTTTTTCCACTTACTCACTAGTAGGACCCATGGGCATTTATGAATAGAACCATCTTTCACTTTCTTTTTCTTTTGACTTGGTCCCACTTTGTCATTACTTTTGCTGGTCCCACCTGTTTCTAATATCCCAAGGTTTGGTATTGTCCCTTTGCAAACCACTCTAATCCTATTTTTGTCATTCTTGACGAAGTCTAACTCCCTTCTACTCTGTATGGAATGAAGATAAATTTGTTGTTTAACTTCCTTGGCTGTGCTAAAAGTCTGGTGGATGTAAAATGGATCTTTGACAGCAGCTGCTTCATTCTTATGTGCTCTTCGTAAATCTCTTATCTTCTTCCTTTTTTTACTAGCTTCACCCTCATCTGATGAAGATGCAGATACAAATTCTTCAGTGTTTATAACCTCTAATTCTTCATCACCTTCTACTGCTTCATCTCGATCATCAGGAAAACTTCCAACCCACTCCACCTCTTTGTCAATGTTGAGGTGAAAGTTCTTCATATCAACCTCTGGATCATCTAACAAATTATCTTCATCAACTATGTAATCGCTATCTTGACTGTATTCACTATCTTCAGTGTCATCACTATCATGACTGTCTTTACTAGCTTGACTGTCTTCACCTGCTTTTTCACTATTTGGTTCATCTTGTTCCATAGGAGTCCCACCAAAAGGTTCACACCATTCAAATGTATCATCCCAACCATCAACATTAGGACATGTGCTTCCTATCATTGGTTCAGTCAAAGGGCTTTCAATTCTTGGTATATAGGCAGGGGTTGACTCAACTGTTTCACTCAATGTAACAAGGGGTTGTTCCAAGGTTGTTTCAAGTAATGTACTAGGGGGTTCGTCCATAGTTTCTACATTCTCAAAAACAGGGGCTTCTTCACTAGGACAATCCCCTGAATTTGACCATGTCAATAACAAGCTTTTACGACAAAGGGACTCAGGAATTTCGTGTATCTTTATCTTTGCAGGGTTTGGGGACATTTGATACGTATGGAGCTTGGTTTCCCAAAACTCTGTATACACTTCTATCACCTTGTGTTCATACACGTATGACCTAAAGTGGTTTATATCTTCGTCACAACCCAAAGCATACAACCCAAAATCTAAATCCCAGGTTGGTCGTTTGAAATGATAATAAATACTTTTACCTGGTTCCACACAATCAAGCAATTCCATTATCTCGTCCATATCATGCACCGAGAACAAGTCACTATCAATGCCATCAATATATTTCATCTTCCCCTTTATGTATTTGCGGCCTGGAAACTTCGTAAAAACTCCACCATAGTTCAATCGTATCGAGAACATACATGGATTGTCAGCTGCGAACCCAAAAAAAAATTACGTTTTAGGAACGTATAATGGATGATCAACTGAAAATGTAGAAAATTTTACCGTATGAGCTTTGGAGATCGTATTCCTCCCATTCTTGCCTAATCCTCCAGTTCACCATCGTAGAAAACTAGGGTTTTCTCGTGCAATGCTAAGGGTCGACGGAGGATGAAATCAGAAATGATCGGTTATCGAAGTCGCGCCATACTGGTTCATGTATAAAAACCCTGAAAAGACGAAAACGCCCCTGCGTGCAAGGCACGTGGGTAGCTTAAACGGAAGGAGTTAACAGTTAACGTGCATAGGGACTAACCATGCAAGATAAATAACAACGAGGGACTGCACGAGTTAAATTTTGGAAATAGGGACTAAACATGTTTTCTGGCATGTGCACGAGGGACCAACGGTGTAATTTACCCATGAGTTTTTTTGATAAACTACTTTATAAACTAAAATTTTCAACCGCTCAAAATTAACTTATGTGTCTATTATGTTTTTGTATCGAACAAACTCTGACATTTTCTTAAAATCCATTTTTTGCATCATAAAAGCTAATAAACACTTTTAGAAATAAACATAAATTGTTTTAAATAATATACAATCTCAAACACCCCCTAAAATCTCTATTCAAGATCAAATATCTAACTTTGTCACTCTAATACTACTTATATTATATATGATCATATCATATGCTATAATCAACAAACCCAAATTATCCAAAAATTATACCAATAAACTTTTGCATGTTTACGTAAGAGAAAGTTGTTTTAACATCTAAAACAACAAAAAAAACCATCCACATTCCCAAGATTTACCATACAACCAAGTATAAATCACCTATATGAAGCACCAAATTTGCCATTACTCATCAAATAACTTAAAAACCAATAACCTTAACATTCTTCTACAAACACCTAAAACTCATGCTTCACACGTCCCTTGAGAATACCAGGCACCGAAGGCAACTTTGACCCCCTGCCAGGTGGCATTGTGGGTCCCAACGAGGGACGAAACATGGAAGATATGCTCGAACCTTCACCTCCATCCACATCAACACACGCATTGTTTGCCACGTCATCGTGTTTTGATTGGTCAGAAAGCTTCATTGCTTTGAGAACATAATTGTCATCATGTAGCTCAAATGGGGTACTACAAAATCAGTTTTAACTATTAGTTAAATATCTAATTCCATTATTACCCTCAATAACAACAACATACATAATACTTATCTCACCTATTGAAGTCAAAATGAACAAGTTGCATATCTTCTGAAATTTCCACTTCTACAGTTGCATGAGGTCGAGTCTACAATTATCAATATGTTTGACTATTAGTCAAATACAAAATATACACAATAAAAAAAAATAATAAAACTCACAAAAAATTTACCTGTACGAGTATAAAAGGCAAAGCCACTCCGCCACTTGGCGCATTTCCAGAGGTGTATAACTCTTCATTCCTTTGTATCAGATTTTGAAGACCTACATACTTTTAGAAAAAAAAAAAGATTATTAGTTTCAAACTTTTTTAAAAAAAAGAAGAAGAAGATAAATATAAAATGATAAAGATTCTCACTTGATCTTGTAGTTCTTTCAAATAAGCAGTTTTCTTCTCGATTCTATTCCTTATAGCAAGACGTTCACCCTGACATATTCAACAGAAACTATATAAAATCTATGTATTTAAAAAAAGAATCTTGATGAGTTTTTATATAAGATTAGAAATATAAAAGTGGACCTTTATCTCTTCAATATCATTCAAGGTGGATCGAGGAAGACCTTTCCATTGTATTTCTTTTTTATCTTTAGATATAATATCCATAGCCATGAGAACATTCAAAGCATCATATACCCTTCTACGAATGTTCTTTTCATCATACTGTTGCTGTCATAAATATTCAAAAAAAACAAGAATTTTATAAGTATCAAATATCATTTCTTCATACCCAAATATCATTCATAAATATTTCTTTATACCTGATCAGGGGTTTGACCACCATCACCAGGGTCAGCAAATTCAGCTACAAGTTCATCTGCAACTTCATTATAAGTAGTTCTTCCCTTGCTTTCAACTTTTTCACACACTATGCAATATCAATATCAAAATAAGCATTACTTTTATACATAAAGAAAACATTATGAAAGCATTGAGACAAAGTAGAAACCTTTCATGCTGAATTGGCGAAGTCCTCTACCCCCTTTGTCCCCTCCAGTTGCACGTTGTGCTCGCTTCTTCTTTTTGTTACTAATAAAAACAAGAACTGAAATCAACACATAGTCCTATTTAATGCATTTAAGAATTTAACCACATCATTATTAGCTAAAATGGTTATTAAAGCCCAAATGTCACAAAAAATATGTGCCAATTTCAAGAAAGTATCAATGCAATTTCATCGTTCTTTCTTATGGTGTTACTAAACCAATAATTATGAAGTTTTCTGCAAATTAAACACTTAGCATTGTTTATATATGAACATTCATATTGATTTTGTAGCTGGGAAAGTAGACAGCATAAACGGCATACAAAAATGGAGTTGAAACCAAATTTCTTACCCAGCAGCTGCTTGAGATCCAGCATTATCTGTCTGAATATCAAGGTGATTCAACCTCAAAAATGTGTTCTCGCTAGCGGGTGTCACCGCCATGGTGGCCTCACTCCGGGTCGAAGGAGACCCGACACTGCCACTTGTTGAAACGGATTGACCCGAGGCGGTGGTGCCCCAGGACCGAGTCGCCCCACCTCCTCCTCTCGAAACAGCTGATGATGGATGTTTATCCCCAATAACTTCATCTTGATTATTCGAACCCGCAGTCACCATCAATACCCACCAAAATTCATCAACAACTTGCAAATTGGATAGATGCCCAGGTGAAAACCTGGTTGGAAAAACGTGGGATTTGATGGAAATTTTTAGGGATTTGGTGAGGAGACAGAAATTTAGTCTTAGAACATCAGCAGAGAGATTTCGCCTGTCGCTATAAATTTACTGTCTTCAAAACGAGGACAAGAGAATCGATCGACACTGGATACGTTGCTGGTGATTTATACAGCTCGTCGATCAGACCAATTGCGTAGAGAAAGAGTGTGGAGGTGACTGGTGAGGGGGGGAAACAACGAAGGGTTTCAGGTTTGTATGAAAACTGCTTTGGGAACAAATGTGTTTACTTTTATGAAACTAATTATTAGGTTGCTCTATTTTTTAGATTAATTATTAAGTCATTAAAATTTACAAATACAATTAAGTCATCATCTTAAAATTTTTAAGTAAAAACAATATATTAAAAATCTTACGTGGTGTTTGGTTCTACGAAGAAATTGAAATCTATGATATTCAATTTCATATTCTTTATTTTTAACTAGAAAAGATTCATTTAGCGTTACTGGAGTCGGAAGGTATTACTTTGTAAAGTAAAGTAGCATTTTGAATTGTATTGAGATAATCTAGTAAATAAATATAAACAATGCCATCTAATTACATAAATAAAGAAATCTGAATCATTATTTCTTGCAATAAATTAGGAAAACAAAGAAATGGTCTCACAAATTGAACTTTATTGGCATGTATGGCAGCGGTCGGAAAACCAATCCGGAAAATATAGACGGTTGTTTTTTGTCCGTTAATGTGAGGGTAATTTGATCTTTTCAAGTAGTAGAGACTGAATTTGTCACCATGGGTAAGCCATATGGACCATTTATGTAATTTTGGTGGTGGTGGTGGTGGTGGTGGTGGTGATGACAGATGGTGGGTGGGTTTATGGTATTGGGTGGGTATTTTCTAATAAATAAGACATTAATTTAAAATCAAAAAGAGAATGTTAAATATGGTAAACCATAGGGATCAATCGTGTAATTTTGTCTAACAATAATAATGATGATGATGAGGGACCATTTCTGCCAAAAAACTAAATACTAATAATATGTAATAAAATGCGAAGGTTATGAAAAATTCAAACCAAAGTGAAAGGGTTGTTTATGAACAAAAACATAAAGGTGAAAGGTCAATGTTATAAGTTGGAGGACCAAAATTGACAAAAAGAGTACCACTTTATTGTTAAAATCTTTCATAACTTTAATATATATATATATATATATATATATATATATATATATATATATATATATATATATATATATATATATATATATATATATATATAATAAATAGAATTTGAATATTTTTTTGGGTTATATAAAATAAAACTGAAATAATGTAAAATATAAGGCAAAGATGGTGGTGATAGTGGTGGCGGTGGTGGCGGCGATGGTGGGTGATAACGGTTAATGGGATTTAGTAGGCAGTGTTATATATATATATATATATATATATATATATATATATATATATATATATATATATATATATATATATATATATATACTAGCAGTGTACCCGCGCAAAGCGGCGGGGCGTGTAAATTCTTTCGGTGATATGTTTCCTCTACAAAAATGTTATGTTACAAAAAAAATACATGTCGAAGACAAAATAATCAAACTATGGTGTTATTTGTTACATGATACATCAAATAACCGATAAAAAAACTGGTCAAGACGACATAAAATATGAAGGCATAACCATGAAAACGACAAAAGTGTGTATCAATCAGGCCGACATTTGGGAATGGTTGGGTTTGACTGGAAGCGACGGTGTAAAAACGATCAAAAAATGTCATGGCCACGGTGGACGGCGTCACATATGACAAATCAAAACTCTAAATGCCAGTTGAGAGAAAAAAGATAGAGAATGAGAAGAGGGTGAGCTTCCAAAAGTAATTTAGGGTTCCTGTGGTGAAGTCGTTTTTGGAAGGAAAGACGTCAGAAAGCGGTGTCATAGAACCGATGGTTGGGGATAATGGAAGATGGGAGATGAAGTCATTTTTTGTTCCTGGACGGTGGGCTTTATAGCAGAAGAGGGAACAAAGAGGTATATACGATTGGAGGGATATTTGAATCAACATGCTAAATTTAAGGATATCTAAAAGGGTTCAAAATTTGAATGAATCTGGGATTTGAGGGAACCATATCAAATTGCTGAGAAATATAAGGAGATTTGATGATAAATATTTGAATTCAAAATATGGTTAAAATTTAATATTATTTTATTAATGGTTACTTGTACTATCAGCTTCATCATTTGGACGTCTTAAAAAAATATTATTATTATAATCAATCTATTTTTAGAAATAGTTAGATTTCTTTTATAAGATAGTAAAGATAGGCTTAGTTTATTCT